AAGGAGAAGGACCTTCTTGGCTCCGGCGGGTTCGGGAGCGTCTACAAAGGTGTGATGCCTGGGTCGAAGTTGGAGATCGCTGTGAAAAGAGTTTCTCACGAGTCCCGACAAGGGATGAAACAGTTTGTGGCTGAGATCGTTAGTATTGGTAGGATGAGTCATCGGAACTTAGTCCCTCTCTTGGGTTACTGTCGCCGTAAAGGTGAGCTTCTTCTCGTGTATGACTTCATGCCTAATGGTAGCTTAGATAGATACTTGTACAACAAGCCAGAGGTGACGCTTAACTGGAAACAGAGGATTAATGTCATCCTAGGTGTTGCTTCTGGTTTGTTCTACCTTCATGAGGAATGGGAACAAGTGGTGATTCATCGAGATGTTAAAGCGAGCAACGTCTTGTTAGATGGAGAGTTTAACGGGAGACTAGGAGATTTCGGTTTAGCTAGGTTGTACGATCACGGTACGGATCCTCAGACCACGCATGTTGTCGGAACATTGGGATACTTAGCTCCTGAACACACTCGGACAGGACGTGCCACGACGGCGACCGATGTTTTTGCGTTTGGGGCGTTTTTACTAGAAGTTGGATGTGGTAGACGTCCTATTGAGATCCAGCATGAGACCGACGAGACGTTCTTGCTTGTGGATTGGGTGTTCGGGTTATGGAACAAGGGTAACATTTTGGATGCTGTAGATCCTAATATGGGTTCTGTGTATGATCAAAAAGAGGTTGAAATGGTGTTGAAGCTAGGTCTCTTGTGCTCTCACCCTGACCCAAGGGCTAGACCGAGTATGAGACAAGTGTTGCAATATCTAAGAGGAGATGCGAAGTTACCTGATTTGTCTCCTTTGGATTTGTCAGGGAGTGGGATGATGTTGGGGGTTCAAGATGGGTTTAGTGAATTAGGAATGTCGTATTCTTCTTCAGTCTTTAGAGGGTTTACTGGTGGGTCTTCTATAGCTGATTCTCTACTCTCTGGTGGGAGGTGAGTGATTTGAATATTAGAATGGTTTTTGTGTGTTTGTATTTCATATTTAGAGAGACTAGAGACTGTCTGGAAGTAATGTGATCATGTAAATTATATTTGAGTGTTTGATGATATAACATAACTTTTTTTTTAAAGAAGATTATTGACCAAGGTTTTCAAGATGATATATACATGCATTAGTATACAATCTAAAAAAAAAAATAGATTTGATGACCATTTAATTATCTAGATTTTGAAAGTGTTCTTTGTGCAATGTGCTGCTGCCTCGGACATATTTACAATTTATGGAACTCATCCTTCTGTCAAGAAAGTCTTCACTTGTGTTTTAGAAAAATGTGTTGTTTTTTTCCTTCACTGAAAAAACTGGTCTCAACGAAAACGAAAGTCTTCACTTGTGTTATGGGGTCTTTTTTTTTTTCCTGGGATGTCAAAGCCAGGAACATCTTGTTAGGCAGGGAGGGAACGTTACAGATCTGAATATGGGTTTTGAGTTTTGCCCAAACGAAGTCGAAATGGGTTTGAACTAGGTTTCGTGTACTCTCATTCCAGCCAACGGGCTAAGATCATGAATGAGACCGGTGCTACATTATATAAGAGAAGATTACCAGTTTTATGTCTGATGGACTTATCCGAAAGCGGGAAATGCTTCATTAATTCGCAATTTTGCCCATGCACTATATAGGCGTTTATTATATATATTCTTTTGTAAATTAAGGCGCTTATTTGATTTCATCGTAAAGACCATTTATTTAACTTAATTCCATTAAATTAGTAAAGTTTTGTCTGAAGTGACCAAAACTAAATCAAGTGTAAAATATTCCAACCAAACATTATTTAAAGAACTTAGTTTCTTTTTTTTGGTAAAATGAACTTAGTTTCTTTTTTTTTTTTTTTTGTAAACTATGAACTTAGTTTCTTCCAACAATTGTTTTGACTTTGTGAGAACAATTTCAGTCTGATATATTCATTTTTCTTTTTGGTATATAATATGATTTTGTTAAATTAAATCACATTGTACATTATAAGAGAATTCAGACAAACTTTACGTATGCTGGGCCAGAAAAATAAATAGTGTCATTTTATAATTCCTTTTGATTTGAGATACAAAATTATGAAAATTTTCAACAAATAATTCATCAAAAATAGTCAGTTCGTTTGTAGAGTCTAAGAGAACACCGGTCAAATATATTGAATTAATTTCTATTAATCACGACGTAGTTACAATAAATAGCAATTAAAACAAATACAAATGGTATAACTCAGAGATATATATAAATTATAGCAGTTTGCATGATTTTTGTAATTCACATTTTCGCAACTTGCATACCATTATAGTACTATGTAGTTGGCGTCAAAGCCGTGCCTCAGTGGGAAGAAATGAAACATTTGCTTAGGGCAGCAAATTGTTTTAAAAAACTAGGGGCATCATTTTTCACTAGTCTTATGTAAAGACCAAGAGCATAAAATAATTAAAAGGTACATGAAAGCACTGTGGTAACTATAATAAAGAAAAAATAGACTTGTAATGAAAACTTGAATTTCTTAAATAACAAATTGAGGACAGTTATTAAGTATTAGAAAATATAATAGGTAAAGTAGTTTTTGAAATACTTTTAACGGTAAAACAGATAAAAATTTACATTTATTTGAGCATTACTGTTACATAAAACATTGACTGATTTAATTATTTTATCTAGAAACAGTTATAAAATATAGTGATGAAAATTTTATTTGCAAAAATAAAATATATTCTTTTTGTAATTAATATAATAATATATATTATTACTATTTTTCTTAACACTTATTATTATAATTTTTATTTTTGTGAAATAATTCTTCAGTCGCCTATGGCAACAACAAACGTTCGCACGGCTCTGGTTGGCGTGATCTGTATAATACTAATGGTTGCAAGCTGGAAAACTATGAAGAATTGATAGGTGCTTGTCTTTGGTCTTTAGTGGTTATTTTGTTTAGTGGTTGTCCAAAAAAAGTGGTTATTTTGTTTCTGTTTTATGCAATTTATTACTATTTGTTTAATGTTTCTATCAAAATGGTCTAACCTCTTGGTGTTGTTGTACTTAGAACGTTTCAAACATATTAGTTTACAAAAACTACTCTCTAATTGGATTTTTTTTGTTATTTTATACTAATTTGTATTTTAAGTGTAGATGTTACATAAAATTGAGGAGAAACAACTTTTGTTATCTTGTAAATACTATACATATAACTTTTTAGTTAGATTTCTCACAAAATTAAAAATCTAATAATTAAATATTAATATTTTTTTTAGAATCTCCGAGTTAGAATTTTATACTGAAAGTGTTCTTAGAACATTTTCAGAAGCAACTTTAAAACCTTAAATATAAGATTTTATGCGTTATAAGAATAGTTTCAAAACTTCAAATTATAAGGTTTTATACAATAAAACCTTATGTTTGAGGTTTCATATTTTTTTAGTCTTGTACTTATATGTCTTTTAAATACTTTTATTAACTTTTTTGTTTATCATTTTAGTCTATACAATTTTATATCTTTATATATATATATATATATATATATATATATATATTCTTATAAATTTAACTTTTACATATAAATTTAAATGAATATAAAATATTTAAATAAATATGTAGTAGTTTTAAGCATTTTCTTCATGTTTATTTGTTACTAAAATGGAACAATTTATTAATATGTAAGAGTTTTAAGCTTTTTATTTATATGTAGTTTGCTATTAAAAGGTAATAGTTTATTAATAAATATTTTTTAATTATTTTAGTTGTTATAAAAAAATTATACTTTTATTTGATTTTTATCTAAAATAAAGACTATAATGTAATATTAATAAAATTAACGCTTTTTAAAGTTTATCATTGGAAAAGAATACCCTCAAATCTCAAATATAAGGTTAATAAACCTCAAGTATAAAATTGCTTTTGGAGATACTCTTATAATTCTAATCTGGTATGCTGAAAACTTGAAATGAATCTCTTAATTGATGTTTATAATAATAAAAAAAAAACTCTTCTTTTTGTTTTGTTATGGTTGTATTGTCTTGTACATGTGAAATCACAATTTAATAAGGGTACTTGTTGCTCTGTGGCCACATTTAATAAGTTAGAAATAGAAAAGGCAAAAGATGCTACTACCAGAGGGAAGCCAAAATTGAGCTCACAAGTCACAAGCAATTAATTATTTTCCCGCTACATGAGTAAATACATCTGATAGCAATTACTTAACCGAAGCAGAAACACATGGCATCTGTTATTCAAAACTATACATATGAAACTAATAGTCACCTAATTTTATATGGTCCATGAGCTACAATTTATTGGGTGTTCTAATGTTGTTGGCATCACCATCCAGCATTAAATTTATACGATTCAGATTGTTGACAACATGATAGAAGCTGCAAGATTATTGGTGGGAGGTGGGCTAAGCAACGAAGAATATATAATGGCAAGAGATGAAAAATCCGTCTTTGCTTATATCTCTCGATTTCCAACTAACAAATTCCAAAAAGAATGTCTTTACCATGTAATACATCATCCCCAACATGATGGGGGATCGACCTAATTACTGTTTATTCCCTTTTGGATAATACTAGTTTTGATTTGCTAATCATTTTTTTCTTAAACTATTTTTATTATTTTTAAGAATAGCTAATTGTCTCTTTTTCTAACTCCGTTAGTAATTTGGAAGATTTCTCTATCTAAGACTTACTTTGTTATTTAGCTCTGAGAAGCAGAGATTGTTTTTTCCGTTGCATAACTTCACTAAAGATTTGATTGGTATTACTGAGAGTAATATGAAATAAAATAAAAGGTGAAAAAAGGCCGAAAGAAAACAATAAAATGGAGTAAATTATTCTACTCTAACTAAATTCAGAATGAAACTGTGTGTGTTTGTCTTTTAGAAGAGTAATTAGAATAAATAGGTGAACATAACTTGTCACATGATTGGTATTTTTAGTGGGATTTGGAGCAATGTAAAGTTTAGAGTAAACAATTACTCTATAATGACCATACAATCACATCCTAAAGTTTATGAAATAATGAAAGTTTTTGAATTTTTTAAACAAAATAGGTATCCCCACAACAACTGTTTATACAATATAATACCACCACTATTGTTTTTCATTGGTTTGTTCAAGACTGTAAACAGTAAACTCTTTTCACTACAGTTTTGAACAATTAATAAAATTCTTAATTTAAATATGTCAATTTGGACGAAACTCATTCAATCTCTGAATCTCATCTTAGAGCAATAACAGTATCTAGACTTAAAATTCTCAATATATATAGATATATGTATATACTGAATTTTTTAACTTTACGGAAAACGTAATTCAAAATATCTGAAAATATATATTTTATATTAGATATTCCGTGTTTGAACAAAAAAAAACTAGATATTCCATAAAATTAAAAATCTCATAATTAAATATTAATATATATATATATATATATATTAAGAATCTCACACCCACATACTATTAATGGAGATGTTCTTATTATCTAAGATAAAAAAAACTATGAAGAGTTTTAACCAAAACAATATTACATTAGTTCAAAACTTTTTCACAAAAAAAAATATTTTAATTTTCTACTATTAATAACAGTAAGTTCTAATTTTAAGAATTTTAATTATGTTTAATTAAATACTACTCCCTCTGTTTCATAATAAGTGTCATTTTAGGTCTTGGCATACAGATTAAGGAAATAATTAATTTTACATATTTCCCGTATAAAAACACAATTACCTATACATCTCAACCAATAGAAGAATGAATTACAGAATAAAATCAATAAATTTTGCATAAAAAACCGAAAACGACACTTATTTTGCAACGAAAAAAATTGTCTAAAGTGACACTTATTATGTAACGAAGGGAGTATTGATTTAATTTTATTAATTGTTCAAAATTTTAGTGAAACTCATAAAACCCACAAATACCATTTATCAGGAAACCTGCTCTTACATATTCACTTCACAGTTAATGATTCGCTTTCGGCTGTCCCTCCCATGGTTTTATCACTTCGAGCGCTGTGATAACGTATTAAACAAAGACCCCAGTTTCTGTGGAAAAGTAACTCCTTTAATAAGCCTTTTTGATAAAAAAATAATAATAATAAGCCTTTAATTCCAACAAGAAACAATTTATGAGACATGGTACAAAACTCTTTACTTGTTTGCTCATGCTAGTTTGGTTTAGTTCTCAACAGAAAAAAACAAAACAGCAAAGAATTTTCAAATAAAATATGGTGCTACGTTTGCCTAGTCAAATTAATAGCTCAGTATTGGGGAGTCGTGCAGATTCAAGGCTATTTAATAAAGGCTCCCAACTCCTCACCAATAAAACTGGTCCTCTTAAACATAGTTTGGTTTTTTTTTTTTTTTTTTTTGGGCAAACTCAT